CCAATGGTTCGTGCACTTGCGAGTATCACAAGTTGAGGATGCAGCTTAATCCATTTTGGTGGAGCTAAATCTACGCAACAGTATTCCAGATATTTTTGGCCAACTGACCAATTTAAGTACTCTTAAATTGGATGTAAATGGCTTATCAGGTGTGATCCCTCCCTCATTTTTCAATCTCTCTTCGATCACTACTTTTGGTGCTTCTTTAAACAAAATCCAAGGGATTTTGCCCTCAAACTTAGGCGTTGCCTTCCAAAGTCTCAAATTTTTTCATATCAACTATAACCAATTTACTGGACCTATCCCTGCTTCAATATCAAATGCCTCAAATCTAGCTGCACTTGGACTGGGAGGAAACCAACTGCATGGAAAAGTCCCTTCTATGAAAAATTTGATTAGCCTTGAGGAGTTTGTTCTTCCTTTTAATCATCTTGGAAGTGGGGGAATTGATGACTTGACCTTTCTTTGCGATTTGACTAATGCCACCCGTTTAAGAATACTGCAAATTAGTAATAACAATTTCGGTGGTATGCTACCTCAATGCATAGCAAACTTGTCGTCTTCTATTCGATTCTTCCATGCAAGTGAGAATAAAATATTCGGAAGCATCCCAAATGGCATTGGAAATCTGGTTAACTTGGAGAGCGTTCAGCTGTTCGCGAACCGGTTTTCAGGTCACATTCCCCCTCATGTAGGCAAGCTTCAGAGGTTATATGAACTATCTATGAATAACAACTTTCTCTCCGGGAATGTTCCATCCTCATTGGGAAATTTAAGTCGATTAACAATATTATCTCTATATGGCAACAAACTTCGAGGCAATGTTCCTTCAAGTTTGGCAGAGTGTCAAAATTTGATGGTCTTATCTCTTGACGCTAACGATTTTAACGGAATCATACCCCAAGAAATCAGTGGTCTCTTGTCCTTATATGATTTCAGTTTTTCTCAAAATCATTTCACTGGTTCCCTTCCCCGGAATATAGGAAAGTTAATAAATCTACAGTATTTAGTGATCTCTGGAAACAAGTTATTTGGTGAAATTCCGCCAAGCCTTGGTAGCTGTATTAGATTAGAGTATCTAGACATGGCTGAAAACTTCTTCCTGTTGGAAAATTGGCTTGCATAAAGGATACAAAATTTCGGACTAGCGACCGGTCGCCTGCTATTAGCGACCGGTCGTTTGAGGCAGAGTCGAAGTCTGAAGCTATGTCGACTAGCGACCGGTCGCCAGCTATTTGCGACCGGTCGTTTTCTGGCAGAGTCGAAGTCTGGAGGTTCTGTGAAAAGCGACCAGTCGCTCAGTATATGCGACCGGTCGCCCAGCACGTGCTGTTTTCTGATTTCTCGAGTTTTGGACTCCAATTTCAAGGGCTATCGCCTCCTACCTACTTGCAAGGACTCTAGGGGTCACTTCTAAGTCAGAAGAACGTTGGAAATCAGTTGGGAGGTTGCAGGTAGCATTGAAGGACATTGGAAGACTTGTTTCAAGGTGTAGCTACCCTATGGTTCTATATAGGGTGGCTACACAAGTAACCATCAATACATAGCTTGTGGCTGGCCTAACCTGTGGTCTATGTCAGGTTTCAAGGGCAGAACGTGGGAGACAAAGCAAGGGTCTCCTCTCAAGTCTAGAGGCTCATGTATTAAAGGAAAGAGTGAGCAAGTCTGAAAGAAGAAGAGAGTTAGAGAGAGTTGGAAGAAAAGTAGCTGGGAACTAGTGAGTCAAGAAGAGGAGAGAATTCTCAAGTGTATCAA